CTGTTTGGGTGTCTATGTATCTGTGGTGTGTTTGTGTGTCTATGTTTGTGTATGTGTCTGTTTGTGTGTCTGTGTATTTTTAATGTGTATCTGCGTGCCTACGTCAGTTTGGGTGTCTGCTGTGTGTTTGTGGGTGTGAGTGTGTGTCTATGCCTGTGGGTGCGCTTTGCAATGTGGGATTATTGTACCCCACCCAGAGTCACCTTTTGGTGAGACGAGAGGCCATATAAACATAGAATAAATAAAATAACTTTTTGAAAAGAGGAAGGAGGGGAACAAAAGGGTTTCCAGCTGTTCCGGCGATTCTCTCAAATGCTCCCTCCTTCCTCCCCAGGGGGCAAAAAATATTCCGCTTTTTTCCCTACCTCCCCAGGTTTCCTTATAGATCTTTTTCCACCAAATGACGAGGAAGAGCAGGGATGCCTGCAGGTTCTGTGAAAGAGTGTTGGCCCAGGCTGAACCTCTGTGGGAGAGAGGGAGGGAGAGAGAGGGAGGGAGGGAGGGAGAGAGAGAAAGAGAGACAGAGATAAAGAGAGAAAAACAGAGAGGGACAGAGAAAAAGAGGGAAAGAGAAAGATAGAGAAAAAGAGAAACAGAGAAAGAGAAAGGAAAAGAGGAGGGAGAAAGAGAGGCAGAGATAGAGAGAAAAACAGAGAGAAAAAGAAAAAGAGGGAGAAAGAGAGAGAAAAACACAGAGAGAGAAACAGAGAGAAAGAAACAGAAAAAGAGACAAAGTGAGAGAGAAAGAGAGAGAGAAAGCCTTAATGTTTGGCCATCTTGTTTGATTGAACTCGTGACAGCTAGAAACTTCATTCAGGTAGATTCACGATTTACAACCACAACTGAGACCAGAATTTGTCGTTAAACAAGGCAGCTGTTAAGTGAGTCATGCTTGACTTTACACCCTCTTTTGCCACTACTGATAAGCAAATCATCACCCTAAGCGAATGGTTGTAAATGGAGGACCACCTGTAACTCCCCTCTCTGCAGGTAATCCTCAACTTACGACCACAACTGAGCCCAAAAGTGTTGTTGTTAAGCGAGACATTTGTTAAGTGAGTTTTGTCCCATCTTCCAACCTTTTCTGCCGCTATTGATAAGCAGAATCACTGCAGTCATTAAGTGAATCATGCAGTTGTTAAATGAATCCAGCTTTCCCCATTGACTTGGCTTATCAGAATGACCCCAGGATGCTGCAACCGTCATAAGTATGAGTCAGTTGCCAAGCCTCTGTATTTTGATGATGTGATCATGGGGGCACTGCAACCGTTGTAAGTGTGGAAAACGGTCCTAAGTCATTTTTTTTCAGTGCCGTCCTAACTTCAAAGGGTCACTAAATGAACCGTTGTAATTCGAGGACTACCCGTCTTCTGGAAGATTTTAAGCCACCTCTCTGGCTTTTTCACCCAACGAAGCACCCACGAGAAATTATGAGCATTACGTTTTGAACTCAAGACTTTGGACCAGGGGGTCGGCAACTATAAACACTCAAAGAGCCCCAAAGGTCCTAACCGGGAGCCACCCTGTTCAATTCTGGAGCCGACCGGAAGTCCAGTCCCCCCCTTACCATAGAGTCTCCTCCTAGTCCCATGATGGCGAACCTATGCAACACGTGCCACAAGTGGCATGCAGAACCATCTGTGCCGGCACGCAAGCCGCAGACAAACTTACCTCACTGCGTTACTTTGAGGCCTTTTTTGGCCTCCCAGAGGCTTGGAAAAAGTCTCTGCAAGGCTTTTCAGGACAAATCATAGGTCCATTTCGTCACTTCCTGTAATACCGGAAGTGATGAAATGGGCCTATAATTCGTCCTGAAAAGCCTTGCAGAGGCTTCTTCCAAGCCTCTGGGAGGCCAAAAATGGCCTCAAACCACCACCACCCCAAAAACACCCAGCTGTGAGGCGCAGTGCATGCGCAGGGGGTGTGCGGAGGGGGGTGTGCACTGCATTCTAGGTACTGGCGTGCAATTTTTGGCACAGGAGCCCAATAAGGTTAGCCACCACTGCCCTAGTCCTTTTTCCTCTACCCGTCCTAACAGAAAGCCCTATCAATTGTGGAGCCGACCGGAAAACCTGCCCTTTTGCCATAGAGCAGTGATGGCGAACCTTTTTGTTGGATGTGCCGAAAGCGCAGGTGCGCGTGCGTGCCGGCACCCACAATGCAATGCGCTCTGTCCCCTTCCCTGCACTGCACATGCACACACCTCCCAGCTGATTTTCAGCCCGTTTGAGGCTGTTTTCAACCTCCTGGAGGCTCGAAGGAAGCCTCTGCAGCCTCGGGAGGCCGAAAAACGGGCCTTCCGGAAATACCGGAAGTGCCTGTTTTCAGCCTCCGGAGGGCCTCTGGAGTCCAGGGGAGGCCGTTTTTGCCCTCCTGGACGCTCAAGGGAAGCTTCTGCGGCCTCAGGAGGCTGAAAACGGGCCTTTTCGGCACTTCCGATATTTCTGGAAGCCCCGTTTTTCAGCCTCCCAAGGCTACAGAGGCTTCCCTCGAGCCTCCTGGAGGGCGAAAACGGGCTCAAACAGGCCGAAAATCAGCTGGGTGGCGCGCACATGCGCAGTGCAGGTAAGTTTGCTTGGGGCTCGCGTGCCCGCACAAATGGCTCTGCGTGCCACCTGTGGCACGCGTGCTAGAGGTTTGCCATCACAGCCATAGAATCTCTTCCTGGTGCCCCATACTTTCCCCGCCCCCTCCCACAACCGGAAGGTCCTCTCAAAATTGGGGCGCCAACCAGCGAAAAGGAGCCGCACCAGAGGGATGAAAGAGCCACATGCGGCTCTAGAGTCACGGGCTGCCTACCCCTGCTTTGAATCGACATTGAAATCTGTCACACTTACACCACACCCAGTTTGAAGGAATGCAGGAAAATGGTGTTCATGATCACGTTCAACACGTTCACCACCACGCCGGTCACTACTTGAGGCAAGAGCACAGCCTGGAATGTGAGAAAAGGATTTATGTGAGCACCACCTCTATAATATAGGAACCGTGATGGTGAACCTATGGCACGCAGAGCCACTTCTGCCGGCTCGCGAGAGGTCGCCTGGAAGAGCCCCACTGCACATTCACGTGCGCTGCCCCCTGCCAGCCGATTGTCGGGTATCTGCTGCGCAGGCGTGAGGGGAGACGCGCGCGGGGGAGATGCACACGCATGCGCAGAGGCATGCGGCATGTGGAGGGGTTGTGTTCTGACCCAAACCTTGTTCCAAGGAAACAGAGGTAACAGCAAAACCTTTTAATGATTCTTTAAGAATTCTGTTCCTTCCCGGTTAAAAGGCTGTTTCAAACTCATTGTCTCTGATAAGAAGGAGCCTTGCCAAGGTTGTGCAAGGCTGCCAAGAACACTAGATAAAGTTACTAAGAAATATTTCAAACCCAAAGAGTCTCCAAACACAAAGCAAGATATTCCGAACGTCCACCAGGCTTGAGTATAAAAACGTCTTTGCTTTCTGCAAAGAACTCCGTTTTCTCAGCTGGCTTTTATCTCTTAAGGGAGAGGCCATTACCTTGCAGCCTTACTCCCGAGTCGCCCGTGCTGCTGCAGCTGCTCTTTCCTTCGAGCAGCCCTGCGCGCACTGGGCACAGGCTCCTCGGGAACCTCTTCATCACTGCTGCCAGCCTCCACAATCTCCGAAGGCAGCACTTCATTCCCTGATAGTCTTGGCCCCATCCCTGCATCACACGCAGGCCCCTCATCCGAGTCCTCGCTCTCTGAGACCTCAGCCGTCCGCACCTGCTGCCAGCAAACCACAACAGGTTGCGTGCACCTGTACAGAGGTGTGTAGTGCGGGGGTGTGTGTCGTGTGCCCATGTGCAAGAGGGAGCAGGAGTCGCGCACACATTGCATTATGGATGCAGGCACTCGAGCGCACTTTTGGCATGCAACGTGGAAAAAGTTAGCCCTCACTAATATAGGATCTATTGCTTTATTTTTTAAAATGCACAGCGCGAGCTTATGAACCAGAGACAAATCCCTTGGGTGTCCAATCACGCTTAGCCAATAAAGAATTGTTTTATGCTATTTTAAGCATTATCCTAATCTGCTGCTTTTGAGGTATGGTTGCCTCTCCCAGAAAATTCTGCTTTGAAGAACAGACGTACCTGACTTTGCAAATAGCGTGTTTCCAGCTGGTAGATGAACGCAGCCTGAAAATGCACAGATTAAAATTAGTTTCTCGGATTGAAAAATCAGTTTCATTGTTATTTTATTCATTTTTGTTTTATTTTTCCTGCCACACAAGGAAAGAGAGGGTCCCAAGTGAATAGTCAATGAGGAAGAAAAAAACAAAAAGCAACGATTCAGTAAGTCCTCAACTTACGACCGTTCCTTATTATTTTTCTTTATTAAATTTATAGGCTGCCCATGTTCCCCAATATGTCAACGATGTCGGGCAACTTAATACGGGTCATAAAAAATAGAGAAGTAATTAAAATAACTTCATTTAGTGACCATTCGAAATTAGGACCATAATGAAAAAAGTGACTTGCGACCAGTCCTCACTCTTAAGACCGTCACAGTCAGGTGACCATATTTGGATGCTTGGCAATAGGCATGTATTTACAATGGTTAGAGCTTCCCCGGGGTCACGTGATCTCCATTTGTGACCCTCCCAGCTGGCTTCGGACAAGCAAATTCAGTGGGAGAAGCCCGATTCGCTTAAAGACCGTATGATTTACTTACTGGCAATCCTAGACTTACAACCACAACTGAACCCCAAACTTCTACCGCTCAGCGAGACAGCTGTTAAGTGAGTTTTCTCCCATTTTACGGCTGTTTTTGCCATGGTCGATAAGCGAATCACTGCAGTTGTTAAGTGAATCACGCAGTTGTATAACGAATCTGGCTTGCCCCAATTGACTTTGCTTGGCAGTAGGTCATAAAAGGAGATCACATAGACCCTGGGACAATGCTACCGTCATAAATATGAGTCAGTTGCCAAATATCTGAATTTTGAGCATGTTGGGATGCTGCAACAGTCATTCATGTGAAAAACAGCCATGTCACGTATTCTAGTGCCGTTGTTCCTTTGGTCACTAAACAAATGATTATTAAGGGGAGCACTAACTCTACTTGCACTAATTCATTTAATAACAGTGTCACAAGAAAGATTTGTGCACGGCTCACTTAACAACTGCCTTGCTTAGCAACGGAAATTCTGGTCATAACCACCTTTGAGCCCAAAATGTATGTTGCTGAGTGAGAAATGTGTGAAGTGAGTTTTGCCCCACTTTATGGGTTTTCTGGCCACCATCGTTAAGTGAATCCCTGCCGTTGTTAAGCGAATCACACGGTTGTTAAGTGAATCTGGCTTCCCCATTGACTTCGCTTGCCAGGAGGTCGCAAATAGGGGAATCACGTGACTCTGGGGACACTGCAACCATCATAAAGTGGAAGCTGTTGAATTTTGATCACGTGACCATGCTGGAAAGGTTGCTGCGAGCCATCTTTTTTCCGTGCCGTTTTTACTTCAAACGGTCGCTAAATGAACCATTGTAAGTTGAGGACTCCCTGTAATTTTTTTCTTCTTCTTCAAATAACCCTTCACTTGGGATTCCCACTGCACCCTGAACTCTGAAGCCCGGTTAATGAAACGTAATGCTTGCCCTCCCCTACCAACTCAGGTCTCGGCTGACAAGCCACCATCTCTTCTTAACCCAGCAAGCTGCTCACTTCACCTTCCAAAGTCCTGTTCACACAACCGACAGTCTTTCTCTGGACCTGTTTTCGCCTGGTGTGTATGTGTTGTGCGAACGCAGCCAACGAAACACTTACCGGCAGAGCTGGAATGAAGATCATCACGTAAATGTGGGTTAATCTGCCAGGAAAAATTGAAACACTTTTTAATGGGATGGGAACAAAAGGACTGGGGGGGACATGATATCAGTCTTCCAATATCTCAGGGGCCGCCCCAAAGACGGAGGGAGGTCAAGCTATTCTCCAAACCCCTGAAGGCAGGACAAGAAGCAATGGGTGGAGACTAATCAGGGAGAGGAGCAACCTGGAACTAAGGAGAAATTTCCTGACAGTCAGAACAATTAACCTGTGGAACTGCTTGCCACCATAAACTGTGGATGTTTTATCACTGGCGGTTTTTAAGAAGAGACTGGACAGCCACTTGTCTGAAATGGTAAAGGAGATAGATAGATAGATAGATAGATAGATAGATAGATAGATAGATAGATAGATAGATGGATGGATGGATGGATGGATGGATGGATGGATGGATGGATGGATGGATGGATGGATGGATGGATGGATGGATGGATGGATATAGATAGATAATAGATGATAGATAGATAAGATAGATGTATTGTAGGTAGGTAGGTAGGGATAGATAGATAGATAGATAGATAGATAGATAGATAGATAGATAGATAGATAGATAGATAGATAGATAGATAGATGATAGATATAGATAGATAGATAATAGATGATAGATAGATAAGATAGATAGATGTATTGTAGGTAGGTATAGATAGATAGATAGATAGATAGATAGATAGATAGATAGATAGATAGATAGATGATAGATAGATAGATGATAGATGTAGATAGATAGATAATAGATGATAGATAGATAAGATAGATAGATGTATTGTAGGTAGGTATAGATAGATGATAGATAGATAGATAGATAGATAGATAGATAGATAGATAGATAGAGATAGAGATAAAAATAGATAGATATAGATAGATGATAGATGATAGCTAGATAGAGATAATAAATAGATAAATATAGATAGATAAGATAGATATGATATATAGGGTCTCCTGCTTGAGCAGGGGGTTGGACTAGATGACCTCCAAGCTCTATTCTGATTGATTGAGATGGGAACCCTGGTGGGGAGGCAGTAAAGGTAGCCCTCAACTTACAAAAATTCATATAGTGACCCTTCGAAGTTACAACGGCACTGAACAAAGTGACCTGGGACTATTTTTCACACAACCATTGCAGCATCCCTCTGGTCACGTGATTCAAATTCAGACTCTTGGCCACTGACTCGTATTTATGACGATCACATAGTGTCTGGAGTTCACATGTTCCCCTTTTGCAACCTTCTGACAAGCCAAATCAATGGGGGAAGCCAGATTCACTTAACAGCCAGGTTAGTAATGTAACAAGCGCAGTGCTTCACTTAACAACTCTGGGAAGAAAGGTCCTAAAATGGAGCAAAACTCACATAACAACTCCCTAGCTCAGCAACAGAAATCTTGGACTCAACTGTGGTCGTAATTTGAGGACTACATATGTGTGTGTGTGTGTGTGTGTGTGTACATATGTGTACACACACACACACCTCTATTCATGTATGGGTGTGTGTCTGCCTGTAACACACACACACGCACACACAAACTCTTGTTTCAAAGACAAGCACAAATATTGGAAGCCTTCCTTGAGCGCCCAGCCCTGAAAAAGTAGACTGCCCTTTTCACTGGAGGTTCTCTTGTAAGGCAGAATTGTGTTGTTGTTGTTTATAAGAAAAAGAAATTGAAGGATCTGCTATTAACTCCTTCTTCCCCTAAAAAATATGCACCCCCCAAAAAACAGGAACGAGAGAAGAGATGAAAAACAAAAAAAGGGAACTTAAAAAAGATAGGTCGTATAGCTGTTACACAAGAGCAAGGTGTGTTTTTGGAACACGCAATCCAGCCTTTTCTGATTTTTAAAAAAGCAAACACAATCCTGCTGGCATGAAATAGGAGAATCTGTGATGTTAAACCGGCTCTTTTTGTCCATTTTTCTTTTTCCGCGCTCCACCCAAACTAGACAACACAGTATCAACAGTAGAGACATTCAAATTTCTAGGTTCTATCATATCACAAGACCTAAAATGGACACATCATCAAAAACATCATCAAAAAAACACAACAAAGAATGTCCTTTCTGCGCCAGCTTGAACTGCCCAAGGAGCTGCTGATCCAGTTCTACAGAGGAATGACGGAGTCTGTCATCTGCACCTCTATAACTGTCTGGTTTGGTTCTGCAACCCAACAGAACAGACACAGACTTCAGTGGGTAACTAAGACGGCAGAAAAAACTATGGCTACCAACCTGCCTTCCATGGAGGACCTGTATACTGCACCCTGAGTCAAAAAGAGGGCTGTGAAAATATTTACAGACCCCTCACATCCCGGACATAAACGGTTTCAACTCCTTCCCTCAAAACGACGCTATAGAGCACTGCAGAACCGGAACAACTAGACACAAGGACAGTTTTTTCCCGAACGCCATCACTCTGCTAAACAAATAATTCCCTCAACACTGTCCAACTATTTACAAAGTCTGCACTACTATTGCTATTAAGCTTCTTATCACTCCTTATCACCCATCCCCTCCTACTTGTGACTGTATGACTGTAACTTCGTTGCTTGTATCCTTACCATTTATACTGCCTGTTTCCTCGTATGATTTGATTGCTTATTGTACCCTATGACTATTATCATTAAGTGTTGCACCTGATGATTCTTGACTCTTGATGAATGTATCTTTTCCTTTATGTACACTGAGAGCATTTGCACCAAGACAAAATCCTTGGGTGTCCAATCACACGTGGCCAATAAAGAATTCTATATTCTATTCTATTCAAACAGAGAAAATTAAAGACTTGGTTTAATTGGGTCGATGGCTTAATTTGATCTGGACGGATTTCTTGAAAGGGACACCTGCGATGAGCGTCCTTTTGTGCGCATGTGTAGGTTGAAAGTAGCGTCAACATAAACCAGTGTGTGGGTAGCCCTTGACTTATGACCACAACAGAGCTCAAAACTTCTGTTATTGAGACATTTCTTAAGTGAATTTGGCCTCATTGTGCAACCTTTCTTGCCACCGTGGTTAAGTGAATCGCTGTGGTTGTTAAGTGAGTCCCATGGTTGTTAAGTGAATCTGGAATCCCCCATTGACTTGGCTTTTCAGGTCGTCGAAGCGGATAGTGTGACTCTGGGACACGGCAACCATCATAAATGTGAGTCGGGTGCCAAGCCTCTGAACTTTGATCACGTGACCCTGAGGATACTGCAATGGTCGTAAGTGTGGAGAACGGTCGTGAGTCACTTTTTTCCACTAACATCATAACATGGAACAGACCTTAAATGTCATAAGTCAAGCACTCTCGATAATCCACCATCACTTAAAAAACTTTTTCTTTCAGAAAAGCTGTATTTCCTGAGTGATTATGTTATTTTAAGGGGCCCCTCAAAAACAGGTGCTTCCTTGGCTTTTTTGACCTCCTGCCCTCACGTATGGCCATGGTTTGTTTGGTTTATAACCTGGTTTGTTATCCACTGCAATACTTGAAGCAGCCAAAAGGGACCTGAAGTACAGCCAGAGGAGGGATGCTGCCAGTTCGCACCGATTCTGGCGGGCCGGTAGTTAAGACTAGGCAGAGTTTGGCGAACTGGCAAATCCCACCATTGGCTGGCCCCAGTTTTTCGGCCTGTTTCTGAGCCGTTTTCAGGTTATTTTTGGGGCCAAAAACAGCCTGAAAAATGTGGTGAAAGTGGACCGGAAAACAGTCCCCCAAAACATCCTGAAAATGCCCCCAAAATGGCCTGGTTTGGAGATTGTTTTCAGGCCATTTTCGGGCTGATTTTGTGGGGTTGTTTTTGGCCTTTTGGGGCCAAAAACATCCTGAAAACTGGCCTAAAAATAGGCCAGAAATGGGCCCAAACTGGCCTGGTTTTGGGGCCATTTTCAGGCCGTTTTGGGGCCATTTTCAGGCTGTTTTGGGGGCATTTTCAGGCTGTTTTGGGTGGGGTTTCAGCGCATTTTTGGGCCAAAAGAGTGAAAATGGCCGGAAAATGGCCAGAAAAACAGCCCCCCAAAACATCCTGAAAATGGCCCCAAAATGGCCTGGTTTTGGGATTGTTTTCAGGCCATTTTTCGAGCTGTTTTCGGCTAGTTTTGGGGACAAAATGGCCTGAAAAACTACCTGAAAATGGCGTGAGAAATGGGCCTAAACCTGACTGGTTTTTAGGCCATTTTCAGGCTGTTTCTTGGACCATTTTCAGGATGTTTTTGGGGGCTGTTTTCAGCCATTTTTCAGACTGAAAACAGCCTGAAAAACGTCCCGAAAATTGCCTGTTTTGGGGGGCATTTTTTTGCTGTTTTGGGGCCGTTTTCCAGAGCAAAAACAGCCTGAAGGTCGGCCTGAAAACGGCCCAAAAACAGCTTGAAAAACAGGCTTACAAACAGGCCAAAAAACAGGCAGGGGCGGGGCCAGCCAGTGACATAATTAGGTCCAACTAGCTGAGGCAAGTGAGGAGGCGGGGCTTGGGTGTGGTGAGTGACATCACCCACCCAGTCACGTGACCAACCAGCCACGCCTACCCAGCCACAGAACCGGTTGTTAAAAAAATATTGCAGCCCACCACTGAGTACAGCTAGTCCTCGACTTACAACCACAATTGTGCCCCGAACTGCTGTTCTGCAGTGAGACGGTTGTTAAGTGAATCATACCCGATTTTACGGTTTATGTCGTAAAACAGCAGGACTCCACAAAAGGCTGTAAGTGTGACCACATCTGAGTGTCTTGAAGTGCAGTCACATAATCACGGGACAGGGGACCGTCATAACTTCAGAAATAGCCCAATGTGCCAAGTACCACTGGAATCACCTGCACCAGGTTTATGCCTTATTATTATTATTATTATTATTATTATTATTATTATTATTATTATTATCGATTCACAGTCTGGGACTGGTAAAACTTAACAGTTGAAGTCCTAACCAAGGACCTCAGAGCTGTTAAGGTAGCATCTGATGATTAATATTATTATCTCTTTTATTCATTAAACATGAAACTCAGTCAACTG